GTAATAATATGTAATTGTCACTGATAAAAATCCACAAAACTGAAGCAAGCTATAGCCAGCTATAGACAGGCCACTGATCATCCCATCCCTGCAATGGAACCCCATTGCATGGCCTCAAATTGTAAATCCTAACGGAAAAAAATGTTCGGGGAATATTTCGTAAATGGGATTAGACATGAATTACCCAGGGTAGACCATATTGTGACTGCTTGAAACTGATCATTGTGACATGAAAACCATGTGACATCAACGGGTTTTCTCTAGCGTTCTCAAATCCAATACCGCATCATCATACCACTATTGGTCAGACTCGCAGCTGCACCACAATGTCGCCATCGTGAAACCAAAAAAAAAGTATTAAATGGTTGTACATGGACTTATCTTGCCAAAGTATGCACAGCAGGAGGTATACCTTTTTGCTTGTCATCTGTCAAAATCGACCTCCTTCCTCATTGATGGATCCCTTCTTTCAATGTGGCGAAGAATTCTGAAACGCAAGCCATTAAATGTGCGCATAAAAGGTAGTTGGCAGTGCTCTGCATACGCCTTCATTGCTTCGTAGATCTCTTCAACTGAGTACACAGAATCACTTGCTCGGGGAAGGACATTCACTTGTTTCAATGTCTGTGCCAAAGATTTAATGGTTTCAGTTTGGTTCTTTAGCATCCGCCACTGTCCTGCAGATTTTGTTGATAGGAATGCGGCATGAAGTTTCTCATCAAAGTCAGTGCTCTTGTCATCAGGATCAGGCAACAAACCCAGCTTCCTCAACCCCTTCTTGTGTTCGGATAGATTGACAAATACAAACATGGCTTCAGAAAAGTCTGCATTCAACTCATTGTCCAGGAAACCGAGCTTCATCAGAGCTTGAGCCGTCAACTCCAGTGAATCTTTCAAAATGAAAGGGCCACCACCCTCGAAAACCGCCCTATTCTGCGAACTGCCATAGGTATTCATTTTGCGTGACGTTCGTGTTGGCTTCGTAAAGGGAAGCAAAAAAGCACAGTTGTCAGCATTGCCTTCCCAAGACTTGTTGCCAGCACATTGGTTGACAAGGTCATGCACACATGCAACTGAAACCTGATGTGGGAAGACTGTGAGTGGTCCCAGCTGATTTGCAAAGCAAAATTTGGCACACTCGTGGTGAAGAAAACCACCTGCTTCCTGTCTGTATCCCAACTTTCTCATGAGTTTCATGACAGTTTGCTCCTGTATCACAAACCTATCATATGGAAGGTGTTGGAGTGTAGAATCCAATTTCACTGATCCCGTCCCATCTGGATGAAGTACAGCCAAAACTTTCGAACGCCTCTTGCGTAAGAGTTTTAGTGGAAGAACCTCCACACCGGCACTTTTGTAAGCCGAAATGGTACCAAATTTCCGTGCTTCAACTAGCACCTGGATGCGGGTCCCCATGTCCTGCAGCTTAGAAATTGGCGCGACAAAATCAGTATCTCCTGTCAGCAAGGCCAAGCCATGAACATCTGAAAGCCTTGACAGCTCTTGCATCGCATGTACAATGGCTTCATCATTGGGTTCACTTGCAATGGCAACTGAATGGCGGGGAATCGTTTGAAATCTGATACCCGGTTCTTTCATAAACGCTGCCCACATCTTGTTCTCAAGCCTCCCAGGCTCAACAAAGAGAGTCGTATGAACCTGGTATCTGTCCTGGTTCAATCTGATGATGGCTGACCTGATCATCTCAACACTGAAGGTGTCAGCATCCACCAAAAGCTCAATCCTGGACGACGGTGCCGTTCTTCGGCGCACTCCACGGCGTGGTCTTGCGCGAAGGCTCACGAATACCAGATGCGCACCGATCAGCAGGGGTGCAATCGGCCCATCTGGATGGGGCCCAGGTGGCACAGAGCACAAAACGCGGCCATGGCGGTTGCCTAGGCAAGACCGTGGGCATGCTGTGAAGCTGCGCCCGGCCAGTGATGTCATGGTGACCCAGTAGTTTCTTTGCTCTGGGCCAAAACTTTGGGCGTTTTGAAGGAACCATCGGTACCGATACCCTATAGTGCAACACTACCTTAACCAAAATCAGCACTTCGATGCGCTTGGTATTATCAATCCACTCACCAATCCACCAACCAATTGGTCCCGCGCGGCCTCCGAACCGTCTTCCAGTTTTATTCGCTCCACTTCCTGAGCCGTGAGTTCTCACACGCCCTGCTCAGTTTGTGGCCTTTACTGAAACCAAGCGTTTCATAGAAAATCTGTTTCCCCGGGTTTCGGCACCCCTTTCAAACAGTGACCCTTGATCACCTCACGATACCCCTCAGCATCCACAGAAAATGGGTATCCCAAACAACCTCCACCAGTAGAATACCTCATACCGAGAGAATGACACAACACCAAACGCTGACCAGGCCACTTCGAGAGACAAGATATAGTCCAATGTGGCCGTGTCCCCCCTCTGCCACACCCAACCAGTTGTTGGAGCACAACTTTGGATCTGCGGATATTCTTCCAGCAAGGACTTTCAACCTCCCAACAAATCAATTGATCAAGGCTCTTGGGAGCCCGTGATTTGAATGTCAACGCCTGATAAACCCTGGATGTTTTTTTTGCATCGGGGGGATTCTCCCAACTGATGTCATCTGCGAAAGCCCATGGGCCCATCAGTTTAAGGCCCAGCGTCTTTGCTTGAGCGCATCTGCTTCGCACGGCTGGGCGCGGCACATGTGAAGCCTACGGACGTTTCAACAGTTGGAGGATAGGTGGTTGTTTCAAGTTTCTTCTGGTAAACCAACATTCCCGTCACTGGGAAACAGAGCGACCCCTGTGATAAACCCGAATTCGAGGTCATCATCATTGGATATGGTTGGGCTCACCTTAACACAAGGATGTCTTGATCTAAGAGACGAGTTAAGAAAGAAGAGGGATCTTCCATTACCATTTTGGACTGCCAAAGGGGAGGTTTGTGGTAGGACAAATTTTGAAGTTTGCAAATGGCGAGCAACAGAGTCACGCCCTTGCAACTGTTCTTATACGTTTGGGACGCTCCGCCCCCAATCCTGGTGGCTACATGGCGACTTCAATTGACTGAATCCCGCACTATTCCCAGCATGGTGTCACGAAAATAAGAACATGTAAGAACTACCCCGTCTCGGCCATGTACCTTGAAGCTACCAGTAGTGAGTTCATCTGCGACAGGTGCCATGATGAATCACCATTTCTTTCTGTTGGAACACATCCATGAGACCATTGCTGGCACTTTCCGGGTTCTATTTACCCCATGTTACGCACATGGCCAGAGTCAACCAATATATGTTTATGTTATGTTTACAGGAGAAATTCATGGATAACTCTCACTAGACTAAAATTTGGAGCAGGTCTTGTTTATAGATTCGTACATATCATAATGGACCACTAAAAGCGAGGAACATGTTTGGTTCAACTGACATGTTTCCTCACAAATACCCGTTTCTTGGCAGGGTAGGTCTCCTGAACATCCTTGTTTGTTGCTGAAATCCCAATCTTTGATAGTTCTAGTTGAATAAATTGGGATTTCTCACTGAGAAATCAGCTGACAGTGAAATCCCATAGGTGAAATCCATAGCTGATAGGTGAGCTGATGGTTCTATCCTCATGTTTGATAGTTGAGTTGGCTTCAGCTCACCTCCCAAGAGGCTGCCAATGGCCCACAGACTGCGCCGGCCCAACGTGCAGGCGCTGAAGGCCGGCAACGCCGCCGGCGCCGAGCCTGAAGTCGGAGGCTGGGGATGAGCCAAGCACCAGTTGTGTAAGTGATCATGCTTGGGGTATAAATATGGTTGCGTATGATAAATATGATAAAAAAATGGGAATATGAAATATAATAATAGAATATTGTATATATATATATATGGATATGTATATATATATATATATATATTATATACAATGGTTGAACAAAAAATATACATATAAGTTATATATATGTATACCCACCATTTGTTTAGAAAAACACATTTTTATCTCAGTGATCATTGTTAGGATAGAATTGGATACCTTCTGGAGGTCATTCGGCCAAAATGGGGAATGTAGAAATCAACCAAAATGGGGAATATAGCGGCAATGCATTACCTAAAATAGTCGTAGTTAAGAACAAGGTATTTGGCTATAAAACCAACCATGATATGATGATATCGGGACATCATGGGGATATCATCGACAATATTTGGGATTTCACTGAGGAGCCCAACAACAATTCGAGTTTTTGGCTTCGGATCCCATCCAAATGTGGGATATATCCACCATAAATCCTAGCTAGCCTATAAGCCAACTTACATCTCCCCTACTGTGGGAAAAATGATGGGTTATGTAACCAGTGGAAGGACTGGGGTAAGGTCTCTTGGCCAAATGCTGCCAAATGCAATCCCACCACATCACCCTCATGACAATCCCTAAACACTTCGGATACTACATTGGAGTTTCTGCAAGGTGTTTCATAGTTGTCATATGGATAAGGATCAGGGATGATTGGGGATGATTTGAGCAACAACATACATTATTGTCCCATATGTAAAGCCGGTTGGTGGCTTCCACCTGTTGCAAAAACATGAATTAATATGAACTAATCAATCTGGGATCATCACCATCACCATCATCACCATCACCATCATCATCATCATCACCATCATCATCATCATCACCATCATCATCATAATCATAATCATCATCACCATCATCATCATCATAATCATCATCATCACCATCACCATCATCACCATCACCATCATCATCATCATCATCATCACCATCATCATCATCAGCATCATCATCATCATCACCATCATCATCATCATCACCATCATCATCATCATCATCCCCGAATGGGGGAACATCATTATCCATGTAAGGCTTGTTTCCGACCATGAACTTCCCATTGCGTTTCACCTCTCCAAGCCGAGCCTGTGGCTTGCACACGGCGCAGGGCGCGCCCCCGCGGTGTGTCGGCATGGCGCCCCAAAGCGGTGAACATGGGAGGAAAAACTGCAGGATTTGTCCTGCATTCACCGGCCAAAGATGCGAATGTACCTGAATTTATTTACCTGGATTGATTGATGTGAGGAAGTGATGTCAAGCTGGTGACTAGCCTTTGACTGCCAGTTCGTAAAAGGTTTTGGAATTTCAATCATGCTCCGCAACTAGCATTATCTAGCATTCTCAATTCTCCTACAATCAGAGAATCTCTGCTGTCAGGCCCTTGGCCATTCCGAATCGGTGCCCTGGGATGGCCGAATCCATTTTTCGCGATCCTTGCAATCCTGGGTCACAACTGCTGTATTTGTACTGCAATCTTCAAGTGGTGACCAGCTGGTGAATACTCGAGTTACATGTGCTGGCTAAACTCCAGATCCCTCTGCATCCTGGACCCAATACTGAGTCACTGCCAACGAGTAGCTAAAGTAAAGCCAACGTAAATCCGCTTCCCCCAAAATAGATCCCAAGAATTCCTCTTAGAAATCTAGCTAGATTCCAGATTTGGTTGGCCATGATTTTTGGAAACACAACTAAGTCCGAACAATAAACTAAGTCCGATTCAAATTTGGGCTTAAATAATTTCGAGGAATGATAATTTTGTGCCAAATTTTGTTGGCTATAAACTATACCCTCTGGTAAACAAACACTTTGCGAACTTGGACATGGCCATGTTAACATAGTTGATTTTCCCAGCTATAACATGATGATTTTCCATAGTTTTCATTAAAAATGATGATTTATCCATTAAAAATGATGGTTTATCCATTAAAATGATGGTTTATCCATTAAAAATGATGATTTTCCCATTAAAAATGATGATTTTCCCATTGAAAATGATGGTTTTCCATAGGCTACCCCACACTGAGTCCGAACTTTCCGCGTGGCGCGTTTCATTTTTTTCCGCGTGGCGCGTATTCGATGCTCAGCTTCGCCACCAGGCCACGGCATTTTGGAGACCCTCCAAGGCACTGCTCACCTCAGAAACTTCTCCCGGAAACATGGGGAATAGTTTTCAGCAGGAAACATGAGTTGAAAGTAGTTGAAAACAAGGTTTTCAAGGATTTAGTTACATATTTTGGAAGCATCCAAAAGTTGCGGAACATTTTTTTTGTTAAGTATGAAAAATGATTAACATTTAGGATTTAGCATGATTTACCCTGAACTTAACATGACTGAACATGAGATCTCGCCACTCAATTTTGGTTTCAACTACCATCATTGAGGATGGGGGTTGAGGGTCGAGGTGTAGCATAGCTACAGTTTTTGTTGGTCAGAACAAGTGGGAAACTACGCAATGATTCTACTGGAAAGAACCCCTGTTGAACAGGGCTCCATGTGACACTTCCCCAGCACCATTCTACCGAACATTTTTGGGCCTGAGTCAAGATCATGGAGCCCCAACACGCCCGCGCAATGGCATCATATTTTGAACACGGAACCAGCCACTGTTTGTCTGAGAACTATATGTATATATATATATATTACCCACGCCATTCTTTGAAGAGGCCACAGTTTACCCCGAATTGCATTATCAAATCTAATATATATATATATAATCTACCCCGCCCACATAGAATATGGAATTGAAATTTCGGCTTCCCAGGGCATCCCCATAATTGAACTTGAAACAGGATACTTAGAATACAGTTGACGTCAAAAAACCTATACTTAGAATATCGTTGGGCCATATAAATTCTTTCACTTTCACTTTTCCAGACGAATTCGTCATTTTTCCAAAAAAAATCTTCACTTTTCTTTATAAATCCTTCACGTTTCCATACAAATTCTTCACTTTTCCATATTTTTGCCATACAATTTCTTTCACTTGTTCAGTCAAATTCATCATTTTTCCATATATATATATATTACATATATATATATGTCTTAATAAATCCTTCACATTTCTATACAAATTCTTCACTTTTCCATATTTGTTCCATATAAATTCTTTCATGTTTCCAGACAAATTCATTATTTTTCCATATAAATTGTTCACTTTCCTATAACAATTCTGGACGTTTCCAGCGAAACTAGTTAACCATCTTTTTTTGGAACACCAACTAATTCCATTAGTTTTCATTGCAAACTAGTTTTTTTTTCATAGTTCTCCGACACCGTTCGTGGGGGGTACCCTTCGATGAGCCTGAAAAACTCATTTTTTTAAGACAGCATGAAAAGAAATTGATCATTTCGGGGAACTCGTTTTTTTGTTGAAAAGTTCCAGTTTAGGAACTTCAGATATCCAGGATTGCTGCTCCCCAAAGGGAATTACGTATATAATAATCATACATGAAGGGGACCTATTCCTTGCAGAACTACATACATAGAATATAGGTACCCAGTGAAAAATATTCATCATTTTTTTAAGGAACACCTTCTAATTCCATTGGTTTTGATTGCAAAATATTTTTTTTCATAGTTCTACGACGCCGGTCGTGGGGGGTACCCCTCGGTGAGCCTGAAAAATTCATTTTTTCAATACAATATTAAAAGAAATTGATCATTTCGGGGACCTGTTTTTTTGTTGAAACGTTCTATTTTAGGAACTTCAAACATCCAGGGTTGCTACTCCCCAAAGGGAATTACGTATATCCTATACACCCTGTTGTATGGAAGAGACCAAATTCCTTTCAGAACTACATACATAGAATATAGGTCCCCGGTGAAAATATTCATTCATTTTATTGGTTTTCATTGCAAACATACGTTTTTTGTCATAGTTCCCCGACACCGGTCGTGGGGGATACCCTTCGGTGAGCTTGAAAAACTCACTTTTTTAAATACAATATAAAAAGAAATTGATCATTTCGGGGGAGCTGTTTTTTTGTTGAAACGTTCTAGTTTGGGAACTTCAGATATCCAGGATTGCTGCTACCCAAAGGGAATTACGTATATAATAATTATACATGAAGGGGACCCTATTGCTTGCAAAACTACATACATAGAATATAGGTCCCCAGTGAAAAGTATTCATCAATTTTTGAAGGAATGCCACCTAAGTCCATTAGTTTTCATTGCAAACTTTTTTTTTCATAGTTCTCCGACACCGTTCGTGGGGGGTACCCTTCGGTGAGCTTGAAAAACTTATTTTTTTGATACAATATGAAAAGAAATTGATCATTTCGGGGGACCTGTTTTTTTATTGAAACGTTCCAGTTTAGGAACTTCAGATATCCAGGATTGCTTCTACCCAAAGGGAATTATGTATAAAATAATTATACATGAAGGGGACCCTATTCCTTGCAAAACTACATACATAGAATATAGGTCCCCAGTGAAAATATTCATCATTTTTTGAAGGAATGCCACCTAATTCCATTGGCTTTCATTGCAAAATAGTTTTTTCATAGTTCTCCGACACCGGTCGTGGGGGGTACCCTTCGGTGAGCTTGAAAAACTCATTTTTTTAAATACAATATAAAAAGAAATTGATCATTTCGGGGGAGCTGTTTTTTTGTTGAAACGTTCTAGTTTACGGACTTCAGACATCCAGGATTGCTTCTACCCAAAGGGAATTACGTATTTAATAATTATACATGAAGGGGACCCTATTGCTTGCAAAACTACATACATAGAATATAGGTCCCCAGTGAAAAGTATTCATCAATTTTTGAAGGAATGCCACCTAAGTCCATTAGTTTTCATTGCAAACTAGTTTTTTTTTCATAGTTCTCCGACACCATTCGTGGGGGGGTACCCTTCGATGAGCCTGAAAAACTCATTTTTTTAACACAATATGAAAAGAAATTGATCATTTCGGGGGACCTGTTTTTTTTGTTGAGAGGTTCCAGTTTAGGAACTTCAGATATCCAGGATTGCTTCTACCCAAAGGGAATTACGTATATAATAATCATACATGAAGGGGACCCTATTCCTTGCAAAACTACATAGATAGAATATAGGTCCCCAGTGAAAATATTCATCAATTTTTTGAAGGAATGCCACCTAATTCCATTGGTTTTCATTGCAAAATAGTTTTTTCATAGTTCTCCGACACCGGTCGTGGGGGGTACCCTTCGGTGAGCTTGAAAAACTCATTTTTTTTAATACAATATAAAAAGAAATTGATCATTTCGAGGGAGCTGTTTTTTTGTTGAAACGTTCCAGTTTGGGAACTTCAGATATCCAGGATTGCTGCTACCCAAAGGGAATTACGTATATAATAATTATACATGAAGGGGACCCTATTGCTTGCAAAACTACATACATAGAATATAGGTCCCCAGTGAAAATATTCATCAATTTTTGAAGGAATGCCACCTAAGTCCATTAGTTTTCATTGCAAACTATTTTTTTTCATAGTTCTCCGACACCGGTCGTGGGAGGTACCCTTCGGTGAGCTTGAAAAACTCATTTTTTTTTAATACAATATGAAAAGAAATTGATCATTTCGGGGGACCTGTTTTTTTGTTGAAACGTTCCAGTTTAGGAACTTCAGACATCCAGGATTGCTGCTCCCCAAAGGGAATTATGTATATGATAATTATATGACCTTTTACATGGAAACGATCAAATTCCTTGCAGAACTACATACATAGAAAATAGGTCCCCAGTGAAAATATTCATCAATTTTTGAAGGAATGCCACCTAAGTCCATTAGTTTTCATTGCAAAAAAAAAAATCTTTCATAGTTCCTCGACACCGGTCAAGGTGGGTACCTTTAGGTGAGCTTGAACAATTTCAAAAAGGATTTTGATGGTGTTTTGGTGGATTTTAGTGGGGTGAAAAAATTGAAACATGACCATTTATGTCCATTTATAATGCAGTATGGGTGATATTTTGATAATTCAAAACAAAATAGTGGGGTGAAAACTTGAAAAATGTTCTTGTATGCTGCAGTACGGATGATATTTTGATAATTCAAAGGATTTTGGTGGGGTGAAAATTTGAAACATGTCCATATATGTCTATTTATGCTGCAGTATGGGTGATATGTTGATAACTCAAAGGATTTTAGTGGGATGACAATTTGAAAAATGTCCATTTATGTCCATTTATGCTGTAATATGGGTGATATTTTGAT